TGGAGAAGAGTACGAAATATCCCATGGAGTGCCAAAAGAACAAAGAGATACATAATTGGAGAAAGGGCAGCCAGAGTGCTCCTTGGAGGCAAAGTTGATAAAGCTCTTACACATTTTGGCTATGTTGCTAGGAAAGGCTATTTCTTGGAGAGGGACATCATGCTTGGAAAGGTGGAGAGTCTGCGAAAGAGAGGAAGACCCCCTCCTCCCCAATGAGGTGAACTGACATAGGGATATAGCAATAGGCTCTAGTATGTCAGAGATTGTAAGGATGACACAGGATAGGACAAGGTTCAGATCTGTTGTTCATAGGGTTGCTATGGGTCATGTATGACTTGAGGGCACCTAACAATAATCAGTCAGAGCTGAGTGGGCCAAACTATTCCAGTATGACCTCATGTTAACTAAGTTGCATCTAAAAAGAAATTATTTCCAAATGAAGATACCTTCAAGGTAATAGGGATGAGAACTTCAATGTATTTCTTTTGGAGACACCTAAGACAAAATCTTGGTTTCTAAAGTAACGATGTCAGTCTAGAAACTAAGGTGCACCTAATCTAGGCCATGGTCTTTGCAATTACTTGCTATGTGTCAGGGAACTAGACAATGATTAAGGATGATAGAAGAAGAATCCATGCCTTCAAATTGTGGTGCTGGAGAAGAATCTTGAACCTATCATAAACTGCCAAGAAAACAAATAGATCTGTCTTGGAGAGGGTGAAACTATGTTTCTCCTTGGAGGCAGGATTTTGGAGCTCCATCTTACATATTTTGGGCATGTGGCCAGGAGAGACTGGTCCTTGGAGAAGGACATCATTTTTGGAAGGATGGAGGAACAGTGGAAGAGAGGAGGACCGCAGATGAGATGGATGGCACAGTAACTGGGGCAATAGTGGTAGGTGTGTCGGAAACAGTGAGTCTGGCTTAGGACAAGACAGGGTTCAGAGCTTCTGTACACAGGGTCGCTATGGGTTTCAGGCAACCTGATGGCACATAACAACAACAAAAACAAAGTGTAATAGGCTAGATAGTATAGTCCTTGAAAACTAAAGTCATTCTACCCCTTAAAACTCATTCCTCACCTCACCTTGATTTAAAGAAAATTAAATTTCCTTTAGATATTTAAATTAGATGTTAATATTTTTTCTTTTCTTTTTTAAATTTTTTCTTTTTTTAATTATTAATTTAAGTGAACGTTTACAGAGGCTATGGATTTCCATTCATTCATTGTTGCATTTTTTTTCCCTGCTCCCGCTACACTCAATTCACTCTTCTCTTTGAAAATTAAAAGAAAAATTCTTTCATTGTTATACAATCCCTTCTCCCAAGTCCACTCCACTATGCAGCCTTCGTTCTGGACTCCTATCATGACAATAATACCTAATCATGTATCGCTTTTAAACAGTTTTCTCCATCATCTGTTTCAATGCAGTATACATTATTTATTCCCTCTTTCTCAGTCTCCCCTCAACCCTGATGTCAATCCCGTTTTACAACAGTGGCACTATGCAGTATTTGTCCTTTTGTGACTGAGATATTTCACTCAGCATAATGTCCTCTAAGGTCAAGCATTTTGTGTACTATTTCGTGAGTTCCTTGTTTTTCAATGCAGTGTAGTATTCCATTGTGTGAATATAACATTTGTTGATGGGCACGTGGATTGTTTCCAACTGTTGGCTATTGTAAACAACGCCAGCTGCAATAAACATGGGTGTGCATAAATGTTAATATTTTAATTAAAATTTCTTTAAATGTAGACTTTTCCCTTCCTGCTTTCTTTTAATGAAACTTCTTCCCATTTTTCAGCTATTTCTTAGGTTATTGTATTCTAGACATCATTAATAAGTTAAGTTTTTGAAAATCTACTTGTGTTCTGCCTTTCTTTTTTTTTCTGACTTTCCTTTTCACTCAATTTATCTGTTACTTTTTACTTCCTTCTCCCTCCTTTCCTGTCCCTGTTATCTGTCTGAAATTGATTCTGTTTGTGTTTCTGTAGCTTTTTATAAATCATGATCTTCTACCATAACTGTGTTTTGTGACTGGCTCATGTCACTCACATCATTTGTTCTAGATTCACCTACGTTGTGCAACATTGCATGAATTTTGAATTTTTTTTTCAGTGTTGCATGTACTCTATTGTATAAAAGC